GAGGATTATGAGTTTTAGTGGGAGTTTGTAATGTTTCTATGTTTGGTTAACTCAAGTTTTAATGTTATTTTCTGCAGAAATAAAGTTTAAAGTTTTATGTACTCTTACAGTTATATTATTGATCTCAGGGTGGACCAGTTGGAAATAGACATTCCATTCCAGACCACACTATATGTTATTTCCACGCTACACACCTATACTTGATCCATGTCGTTTATTATATTAATATATGTGATCATCGATGGGTCTAGTTATTCAAATATAGCAAAGACTTCTTTGGTCCTATGTTGATATAATTAATGGACCGGATTGATTAAGGATGACTACAGTTTGATAGCAATAATTTGGAGCTCCTAAAGTAAACATACAATTCTAAGGATTGTGTATACATGTGTATGTCGTCCAAGTGGGAGATTGTTAGATTATTGGACTTATACTACATGTAATATTCACAATATATTATTTATCGGGTTTAATTGTATGTTATATGCTATCTTATATTTAGGCCCAAAAATTAGTGGTCCTATGAATATTAATTTAAGTGGGCTAATAAGTTATCTAATAAGGTATAGGGCCCAAATGTGTAGAGACTCATGGGCTTGACCTAATCAATGATGGGCTGATTAGGGTTAAGCACTCTATAAATAAGGGGTTATGGTCCCTAGTTGTACACGCCATTCCGTCTTTCTGCATCTCATCGCTAGAGAGATAATCCCGAGGGTGTGCATCAACTAGAAGACGCAAACCCTAGCCTCCGTCTCCTGGATCCCTAAAGATCATCTCCCATGGAGTCAGGTACGCTTCCGCTCAGTTAATTCTCTAGATAATTTCAATATGAAGATTAAAGTATTATCGGATTTATTCCAACAGAGGGGTGAGTAGAAAATACATGTTTGTAGGTATTTCTATTAATAACCTTGATTGTTATATTTCTGATATTTTGAATTTCACTTTTATGATTTAGAATTTTCAAACACCATGCAAAGATGAGTGTCTAGCATTGTCTAGCAGGAGATAATGAATGAAATCTCACTTGGATGTTAGGAAAAAAACTACTCCGTAATACAAGAGGTAATTTCCGAGGTTGTGACTAGCATTGGCACATAAGCCATCCAAATAAACTTTGTGATATACTCTCTTCCCTCCGTCCCATAAAATTCTTCCCACTTTTCTTTTTGTATCGTCCCAAAAAAATCTTCCCACTTACCATTTTTGGACAATTTGTGTGGTTCACATTCATTTCACATTTTTCTTACGCAACCACAACCATACATTTCCACTTTATTCCACTTTCTCAATCTCCGTGCCAAGTCAAAGTGGGAAGAATTTTATGGGACGGAAGTAGTATTTTGGAAGTGCAAAGAAGTTTGCTAAGATAGTGATACAAAGTTCATTATTTTGTACTCGTGAATTACAGCTTCCTCCTCCTGAATCTTCCTCCAGAATCATATGCACAAGAGCAGATATATGATACGTACTAGAGATGCTTGGGCTAGATAGTAGATACTTCAGTAAACAATGCATGTAGTATAATTACTTACATTTGGGGCATTCAAATGAATTCAGTTAAAAGCGCAATTATCTCCAAGAATTCATTTGAATGTCTTTCCGATTGAATTGTTAGCTGAAATTTGGTATGAGTAAACTAGACTTAATGAATAAGATGCTCAGAAATTTGCATAAAAAAATTTTTCCGGGAACCGCCCAAATGGTGAGGGCCGGACAGATGCTCTTATATAAAGATTTATTTGAACTTTTTATAAGGGGGCTATCTCACCTTTTCCCTTTTCGAATTTATTTTATCTTTTCACTGCTGGCCCGCTAGGATCGTAAAAAAGAACTTTGCAGTTTTACAGCTGAGTTCAAGACACTATCAATCATCATCCTTCTAGTTTTTGTTCAAGTTTCCCGAATTCCCTCCCTCCCGCCAGCCAAGTCGAAAGCTTTACTTGGAAAACAAAGTTCACCGTAAACTTTCTTGTTTGCTTCAGTCATTGATCATGGCGGTTAGAACTAAAACCATCAAGCACCCGTCCTTCATTGCTTTAAACCCATCTTTCTTCTCCAATCTGCTCACCAGTTTTCCCTTCCATTCGCTGCAATTCACTCCCAAGAAGCTCTCAGCTACTTCAACTTCAAGAAGATCCCACTACCTCTCCATGATCTTCGTCTTCTTCCTGGTCTCCTCCACTTTCTTTTCCATTTTCTTCATCACTTTCGCTACCCTATGGCGTAACTCCCTCCCCTGCCCCCCCATTCCTTCTTACTCTACTGTTCTATTCCCCGATCAGAGCCACCTGTCCGTGTCCGCTGACGCAATGGATCCACTCCCTCCTAAAAGGGTGGTGGCTGGAAACATTTCCAACGAGGAGAGGGAGTTCTGGCGCCAACCAGATGACGAAGGGTTCCGTCCCTGCCTGCATTTCAGCACCCAGTACCGGAAAGCGTCCGCAGCGATTTCTAAAGAAAAGAGGAGGTTCTTGGTGGTGGTGGTTTCCGGCGGACTGAACCAGCAGAGGAATGAAATCGTGGATGCGGTTGTCATCGCCAGGATTCTTGAAGCCGCCCTTGTTGTCCCTGTTCTTCAAGTCAACCGCATCTGGAAGGACGAAAGGTATAATCTTTAATGAGTAAATCTTGATTTATCTTTGTCTCTTTTAATTTTCACTCTGGGAAATGATAATAAATCTTGATTTATCTTTTTCTCTTTTAAAGGTACAATCTTTGATGAGTAAATCTTGATTTCTCTTCGTCTTTTGCAATCTTTACTCTGGGAAGTGAAAATGAATTATGATTTTGCAGTGAATTCTCAGAGATTTTTGATGTGGAACATTTCAAGAAAGTCTTGAAATCTGACGTCCGAATTGTTTCTTCATTGCCATCCTCACATTTGGTTTCCAGGCAAAGGGTTGAAACTCGGATTCCATTTCATGTTTCTCCTCTCTGGTTACGCGCCAAATTCTTCAAACAGGTTAGAGAGCCGAAACAGAGCAATTAATTAATGTTAATATTCTGTTAATTGAAAATATCAGGCACTGATTAGTGTTGTTTAATTGTGTTTAGCTGAACGAAGAAGGTCTGCTAATACTGAAAGGCCTAGATTCGAGGCTCTCGAAGAATCTTCCGCCGGATCTCCAGAAGCTTCGCTGCAAGGTTGCATTCCACGCGCTAAGATTCGCCGGCCCGATTCACGATCTCAGCCACCGATTCGCGAGAAGAATGTGGATAGAAGGGCCATACATAGCCGTCCATCTCCGTCTGGAAAAGGACGTGTGGATGAGAAGCGGTTGCGCCACCGGCTTGGGCGAACAGCACGACGGAATCATCCGCAGAGAACGGGAATCCCACCCGGATTTCCAGACGAGAAAGATGAAAAACGTCACAAACGCCGTCAGAAGAGCCGCCGGGCTGTGTCCGTTAAACGCCGGGGAGATTGCGAGGCTACTCAAGGCGTTGGGTGCGCCGCGAGACGCGAGAGTGTACGTTGCCGGCGGAGAGCCGTTTGGTGGGGCCCCGGCGCTGGATGGGTTGAAGGAAGAGTTCCCGAACCTGATGAGTAAGCTCGGGTTGGCTCGGGAAGGAGAGCTGGCGCCTTACGTGGACAAAGCTTCAGTTTTTGCTGCTATTGACTACGTCGTTTCACTTAGCAGTGACGTTCTAGTCACTTCCCATGGCGGGAACATGGGCCGAGCTCTTGAGGTAAATAATAAATTAAATAAATAATTAATTAATTAAATACAAAAATAATAATGGAATGAAGATCAAAGAATGTTAAGATGTTTCTTTATGTTTGGCTTTGTCTCTAAAATGCAATAAAAGCATGAAATATGATTAATTATTCTATCGCTTACAAGTTTTTGGACAATTGGACATGATAGTCTGTCTTTGATAATTTTAATGGAATAAGGAGCTTTTGGCCTTCTCATATTCAAATGGGTTGGAGTAAAATGACTAACAAAGTGAGAATCAACAAATTTGACTTTTTTATTGTTTGAATTGTTATTTGTGGAAGAAATTAATGCTAAATGCAGTAAAAATAGGGTTCAACCTGCATGACAGAGTCAAATATAAGTAATACATTTCAGAGGTAAGATGAAAAGGGTAGATTTTATACAGAGTGGTGAATAGTACTTCCAAATTTGAGAGAAAGAAAGAGATTTTTCAAAAGTAAATAAGGGAAAATGGATTTTTCCTTGAGTTTTACCTCCTTGTTTTCTTAGTTGCTTTTTTTCTTCTGGTTATTGCTTTCTTCCTTGATTCCATCATTTTTCTCTCTATTTTTTCCCCAACATTTTCCTGATTCAAAACTGACCCCAATAAGTATCAAACATTTAAACCTATTGGTAATTTGGCAGGGACATCGGGCATACATAGGACATAGAAAGTATATAAAGCCGAACAAGAGAATGATGTTCCCAGTCCTGGATGATCCTTCCATCTCAGATGAAGAGTTCAGTCATGTCATGAAGAAACTGCACAAGAAATGTCAAGGGCAGCCAGAGCAGAGGACTAATAAGGTGGATCGGGACGTACTGGCTTATCCCGTGCCAGAGTGTATGTGTAAAAATATGTAAATGAAATAAATATCTCCAAACTACAGAGTAAAAATTAGTGGTTTTCTTATTATAGCCCATTTGAATTCTCACTTATTTTTGGCACTTGGGTCTTTAAATAGAGAGCCACAAGTCCGACCGCCATCATTGGCATGAATGCAAGAGAACTAAAACTATCAGTCAAAAGCCAACATGGACCTTGGTCAAACAATTAAATATGAAAAAATCAAAATAAATGTCAAAATATCCTCCCATCACAATAGTTGGAGACTTGGAGTACTAGAAACAAGAAAAAAAGAAACACAAATATGTTACTCTCACAACAATCAGATAACTTAAAGCGAAAAATGCTCAATGGCATATGTACTGGTGATTTTTCATTTTTGTGGAATCTTTATGGAAAAGGAGAGATAATAAAACAGAAATAAATATAGAAGTCTATAATAGCAGAAACAAAAGCTACAGAGAAGATATCTAGTAGAAGAAATATAACTAACCCCAAGGTTAAACAAACAAAAACTGGCTTACAGGTACAGCCACTCAAAAGTTCAAACTATGACATTAAAGGAAGACCAGAACAAGCTAGCCTCCTACTGCTGCTGCTGCTGCTAGGATAATAATATCCAATCATTCATCGTCGTCAACCTTGGACTTCTTTTTCTTTTTACTTCCAGCAGCAGGTGTTTGAAAATCTTCATTCTCACCCTTGCTCTTCTTTTTCTTCTTCTTTGTTGACCCATTCATGGCATCAACCCCATTTATGCCATTTGCATTATTTTCATCCACACTTTTCTGCTCTTCTGCTTTCCGTTTTTCCTTCTTTTTCTTCTTCTTTGGTTCTTCAGAGTCAATACCATTTTTCTCAGCGGGTTCATCTTCTTCCATTTGTTGCTCATCCTCACCCTTGGATTTCTTTTTCTTGCTTTTCTTTGCTGATGAAGGTTCAGTTGACATTTTGTCTTCATCCATAGTGGCATCTACAAATTGAGAAGAACATCATTATCAGTTTCAGCAGATATTGAAATATCATCTTATTCACACACATAAGACTATGCCATAAAGAGAAGCTTGCTAGCTTTCAAAGCATAACTTAAAATTATCCAGGTAATGAGATGTTGATATATAAACAAATACAAGATCAAGTGTGTATATAGGTCTGTTTAGGAACCCCGAAAATGAAAACAATAAAAAAGGGAGTACATCGGATGACAAGATGCAAGTCCGGGTGGGGGAGTCTTCAAACTCAGTAAATCAATTTTAGACATTTATAGACATTCAATTTATATTATGCATTTATATTATATGCAGGCATCTCCATCATTTGCAATGGAGCCAAAGATTCACTATTTTTTGGCTTGAGATAATGATGGAATAATGCAAAATGGCTCTCTAAACCGTCTGCGCTTCTTTGTTATGAAGAAGCAATCAGTTCATGCAATTTTGAACGTGATTTTCACTATGGGTCATCCGGAAACAGTCTCTCTATGCTTTAGTACAAGGGTAAGACTTCGTACATCTGACCCCCTTACGGTGGGAGCCTTTGCGGCACTGGGGTAATGATGATGATGATAATGATGATTTATATTATATGCAGGCTAAGGCATATGAATGTGAAAAAATAAAAACTTCTAATCAAATTCGGTTTTCTTTTGTGCTATCCAAAGTAAAACAAAAAAATAAAGTAAAAAAACTTTTTCTGGTCTATTTCCTTTCCCTGCCATTTTCTGCATCCCAAACATAACGTTTTTTATTCTGGCAGTTTCTGGGAAAAAGAATAAATGACATATAGCAACAATAAAAAAGACAGTGGAAGTGCTCATGAAGAGTTTAAGAAATGACAAACGATTTACATGTCCACCATTTTCATCAGTTTAATAATCTTATTTATTTTGGAAAAATTCACATATTAAGGATGACAAATGCATCAAACACATACCTTCATTTTCAAGGCTTCCGATTACAGCTTTCATCATATCCAAGTTTTTGCGTGGTGCCACTCCTTTATCATAGAAATCAAGTCTCTCTTCAACTTGCTCACGAAGTTTCTCCCCAAATTTAGTAGTGCTGGTATCTGTGTGCACAAAATATTAACACCTTCATTTGAAGAAATAAATAAATGAATACACACAAAAAACTGTTGTCTAATGGAATCTTAGGGCACACCTAGGAAACAGTCAAGGCGTGAAGCAATAGAGCATTTGTTTGCAAGATAACGAGCCATTCGCCCTTTGTTCTTAGCACCAGCACGGCCAATGAAAGAAGAATGGAATATGAGCCCATACTTCGGTGTGTTTCCTTTAGTCTTCAATGCCCTGCACTCATAAGGGAGTTTTAAACTTAGAAACTTAAAACGCTAAATGTTCTGATTGGAACACAGAATACCCTAGAATATGAAAATATATAATAAAATATATGGGACTTTTAGGAGCAAATATTATAGGAAAAACAATGGTTCAAGCACACTAAACTAGTTAGTGATTTTTGTTCAAAATGATCTCATTTATTCGTTTCTATTGTAAAAAGACTAAGATATCAAAACATCTATAATCTATAATTTATAAATATAACTTAATAACATTAAAAATATTTCATTATCCTTGACATTTTTCCCCTGTACCTAGCATTTTCCGGGATCTAATACCCTATACAAACAAACTATACTAAATTCAAACGGTCAACAAAGATTGAGAAAGCACCAACAGTCATCCAAGGAAACATCATTAGAATTTAAAAAAAAAAACATAATCTACATGCATAAGGGAGATCAGGAGTACAAAGACCTGAAGAGAGCCTTCTCAGCTCCAAGTATTTGGAGAGTGGATGATGGACATTTAGCCAAGTTTGTCAGGCTGCCAGCATGAGAAATTAAACGGGCCCCAACAACATCACCAATCAATGCAGCCAAATTTGGTGCTATGTCATTCATCTTAGCAACCAAATAATTATAGAGATTCTTCCTATACTCAGCAAGATCCATTACTCTATGTGCAAGTTGCTTGACATTGATCAGGTCAACAGGAGACAAATCTTGGCCTGAAAAAGAAAGAAACAAGATACAAATAAAAGGAGTCAAAATTGGAATTGAGTGAATTGGAATTGAGCAAAGGTGATTTCAAATATATTTTTACCCATGGAAGCTTTGGCAGCGACTACTATTTCTTTGGCTTTATCTTCATCCCCGACTATTTCTGTTAAGTCTGGCAAACTATCATCAGATAGTTGCGACTTGTCCTCGATGAACTTTGCAAGTTTGGCATATAAATAGTTGTCATTGATAATCTTCACAAGTTCTGGGAAGTGCCATGAATACCACTCTCTGTAGTAGAGATTGAAATTCAAAATATAGACTTCATAGAGGAAAACATATGAGAAAACATGCAGTATCGATTTTCTTTTGCTAAATACTACAAAACACAACAAAATCATTATATAGTTTTGCTGGAAGGCAGACAGTATATATACCTGACTCTCATTGAAAATGTATTGATATCTTTATCAAGAGTATCAAGTAAGAATATTGCTTGAATAACCATATTGTCAACACGGTTAACATTGAACTTGACCTTTGCTCTGCTGTAACTGTGACCTAACCCCAGCTGGGCCTTCTCAATGTCACCTGACTGTATACCCATTACAAGATTGCAAACGAGTAGAGCTTAAACAGTGCAGGACACTGGAGAAGTAACCAGATAAATGAAGATGTAATGAAATGCAAACCTTGAGATTTCCAATAAACTTCTCAAAATGCAACCGAACACCACGCAGAAGCTCTAGAACAAACTCATTGCTTTCGCAAGGAATCTTAGTTACTTCAACTATATGTGAACCAAGCTTAGGCTCTGCAAGTCCTAGTTTGAACTTAGCCTTCTTTCCCTCCTTAACTTTAGGGAGTGTAAGCTCCAAAAAATTCCTCAACTCATCAGTCATTTGCCCTAAACACATTCATAAAATCGCATTAAATTAGATTGTAGGCAAAAGACAAACTATTAAGCATAAATAAATCCTGTATGGAATTCTCCAACACCGCAAAAACACCTTTTGCTAATATACATTGATCAACGTAGCAATTTGACGCCTGAATGTACATAGTTGAAACAAATACGAAGTAGTCTGCACATGCAGCTGACAAACATGCAAACTATACTACAATAAAACGGATTTTGGAGATATAAAGACCTTCAGAAACAGCGTTGCACTGATTCAGAGCATCGAGAGCAGAATCGAATGGGTTAAACGCGATGAGTTTCACAACTTTGCCGAACCGGTTGAGGTCGAGGACTGACTTCCGAATTGCCTCCGTATTCTGACCAATTTCATCGAGTCCATTTGCCAGGAACAGCCCATAGCCGGAGGCGGACTCAAACAACAAGTACAGAGCCATGGGTGTGTGAACTGAAAAGCAGAGACTTGAAGCAATATTTCGGTTTTAATAGGGTTTAAGCAGGGCCGCCAGCCTATTGCACAGCGGGGGTATAAGTTTGCAAGAAAGACCCTATACTGTCCATTAATACCGTCGCGCCAATGAGGATTACTTGTTAACCGCACTATTTTCGAGAGTTCATATTTCCGCCCCTCCAATATAGGTATCGGGCTGGGTTTAATGTAAAACTAACTAATGAATCAAATTGGATTTAACTTTTGCAATAAAATTCGGGAAACTTATTCACAGCTTTCACATTACTAAATGGCAGCCTCAAATTAAACTTCACTCATGATAAATAATATTGTTGAAGTTTAGTCTCGTAGATCTGAAAGTCCAACACACGCTTTGGATATTTCAGAATGTGGATAATAAATCGAGGGTATAACAAAATATAAAAGCTGAATAATAATAATCTCAAGAGCCCACTTTTATTATGCAATTCGTTGATTACACAAGAAACTTCCCGAACGGTACGTCGGAACAATGATTAATACAAGAACAAGAGTAATCAAGCTATTCTAGGCTTTGAGTATCAAAATACCAACCTTTACAATGAGATTAATCCATCTATTTATATTAATGGAGGGTATGGGGTGCTCCTTGCTGATTGGTTGCTAATCCAGCCACTTGAATGCTCATCCTCCCACTTGCTGATGTCACACTCTAGTATTTAATGCACTTCGCCACTTGCCAATGGTCTGTTGCCCGATCAGAGTGGTGGGTCACGTTGAAACGTTCGTTGATTTGGCCCAAGTACCTTGGTTGAACCGATCCCCGTTCGGTACATATTTCTCTTTGGGCCCGCTCTTCGTCTGGATTTCGGGTTAACTGTTTTGTACTGGATAATATGGGCCTTTGGCCTGGGTATTGGGCCTTTGGTCCAATATCCCAACACGAGTCCCTCACTTCCGATGTCTCGAATGATAGTGAGTGCATTGGGAAGTAGAACTTGCATGCTGAATGACGATCGGGATTCAGAGCTTGCTGGTTCCCTATGTCATGATTAGTACCTTATCTACGGTTGTCGTTTGATTTTTACCATATTTGTCATGATTACTGGCTTTTACTTTCCCATGCGACATGTGTCCTTTCAAATAGTCCAGGTGACGTGCCTTCTTCAGGTTGGTTATTGATTCGGCGCCTGTCAGGCTATAAATAGGCCTTGAATTTCTTGGATACGGGTTTCGAATTTTCATTTCCTTTGTGCCTTTGTTCTACCTTCTCTCTAGGTCCTTCAAGCTTCACCGTGTTCAGGTATTCCCCGTCCCTTAACTTTCCTCTACTCTTTCCTTCGATCAATATGTGTCCTCGATCATGCTCCTCTAATTCGGAAATGGCTTCCCAAGGGGAAAATCATGATGCCACCGTTGTGGACGTCATACCCGTCCCTTTTGCTGAAGGCACAAATGAGGCGGTGGAGGATAATAGGGCAGAGGCGGAGGATTCTTCCGTCGGCTCTTCTTCTTCTGATGACGATTCTGATGATACGAACTCCGGTGATGAACTTGCTTCCATGGCGGATGGACCCCCGGGCGATGTCCCTCGTCACAAACTTGACCTAAGATTGATTAGGGAAAGGCGGCAAAAATTGACCTCTCACAACAGGGCTCAAATTCCGGCCCTAATTCCAGACCCAGTGGACTTCCGTTTGTGAGATGGGCTTCATCCAATGCGCCACTCCCCTGGAATGGTCGTAGTTCATTTATACTCGGTTAAAGCTGGGCTTAGGTTTCCGTTGCATCCCTTTTTTGTTTCTTTTCTCAATTTCTATGAAATCGTACCAGCCCAGGTCATGCCGAACTCCTATTGGGTGATGGCCGGCTTTATTTGTCGTTGTATAGACGCTAAGGTCACGCCCAATTTAGAACTATTTCATCAATTTTTTAAGGTAGTCCCTCAGCAGACCCATGGGTATTTGGCCGCAACTGCCCGGACGAGACATATACTTTTTAAGGGCAATCTAACCTCAATTAAGTGGTGGAAAGAGCGGTTTTTCTTCGTTTCTGTCCCGGGCGGTCTGATTTCAAATAGGTGGAATGCTTTCCCTCGTAAATAACCGGATCCGATTCTAACCGAGACGATCTGTAAGGATGTTTTTGTCGTGGAGGAGGCCAAAACTTGCAACATTGTAACGTACCTGACTCACGATCAGCTTGTCAAAGCCGGGATAGGTATTGCCCGTATTCCTTGGTTTACTTTTCTGAAAACCAAGTGCCATGGACGGGCGGTCCTTCTCGTGCGAGAAACGTCCCTTTTTTAGTTTCCCATGCGATAAGGCCGCTCGGTACTAACTGTTGCCTTGTTATTTTTTCAGCTTCCAACTCAGACGCTACTATGGATGATAGTCGGGTCCTTGTTGCTGGGGGAGTGGGCAAGAGGAAGAAGGCCAAGAAGAACCCCAAGGCCAATCCTTCCACCGCCACTAATCAAGATGTCGGGTCTTCTCAACCCGTTCAGGGGCCTGAGCCTATTCGGCAGGTTCCCCATCAGGACCAGTTCGAAGATATGCTGATCGATGACCGGTTTGGGTCCGATCAGCTGCATCATTTCTCTGAGCACTTTCAGGTTGCTCAGGATGCCAATGTAGATGTGGGTGCGACCCACACTGTTAACCTTTCTGGTCAGGTCGACCGGATCTCTCTAGCAGATCTCGTTCATGAAGTTTTGGAGAAAGTTGGTTCTTCTGCGAGCCAAATTTGGTCCACCTCCACTTTCTTCAATAACTCTTTTGTCCCTAAACTGCCGGTCGAGCAAGCAGAGGAGTGTTTGGCCTTAGCGGCTTTGAAGGTACTTTGTTTTCCCCTATACTTTGTTTCATAGGTTATCATTCGTTCTATATCGTCTCATCTTTTGTTTCTGAACGGAATCCTATAGGTGGGGCTATATAGCTTGCAGCTGAGGGAGGCCCGACTGGCCAAGGAGCGGGATTTGATCATCGCTCGATCTTCCGTAGAGCAAGCTGCTACTGCTGCTACTACCGTTGCTGAGGCTGATCGGAAGGCTTTTGCAGAAGAAAAACAACGACTTGAGACCGAGCTTGGCAAGCTTAGGGTTCATCTTGGAGCCTTTCAAGCCAAAGTCTTTGCTGCTGAGGCTGCTTTGGTGAAGTTTGAAGAAACAGCTCCCCGTATCACGGACGGCCCGGATGAGGTGAATGTGGATTTGTCTGTCGTTCGGGAGGCGTTCAAATCTTCTGATGAGTTCTCTGCCATCAAAGAAGATTACGCTAGGCAGCAAATCCCAGCGGCTTTTGGGGCTTACTTGAAGACTTTTCCCAAGGGTGCTGAACGGCTTAGGGCCGGAGTGGAGCTTCTTGACAAGGATCCCCAGAGCAAGCAATGGAATGATTCCTTGCCTTCAACTCTCTATGTTAAAGGTTGCCAGCACATCTTACGCCCTTTTGTGGGCCAACTACAGCACCAGCTTGGGAGGCCAGTCCAGGTGTCACGCCCCGGACCTACCCGGACACGTCAACAACCCGCCGTACAGTACGAATAGTCAACCGCAGTCCAACTCATCCATACCATACAAGGCGTCTTGAATACCATTCACACATAGTACATCCATAAACAAACATAATGTAAAACTTTTATTTAAAACAGCGGAAACATTTAATAAAAGTGTCTTAGCCACATTTTGGCAAACATGGGCATGCAAGCCCCCCCCCCCCCCCCAAATAGTTATTCGAAAATAATATCCATGAGCATTGTTATAATTGTTTTGAAATCAGAAAACAGAAGAAGCACGAACCACGTCTTCTCCCCTGAATATCCCGAGCAACGGGCGCCGGTAGCTGAAACTATGAGGTGGCCTCCCCGTGAAGGGGAGGTCAGTACTTGGAAGCATTTGACAAGTACAATGACAACTATACTAAGTATAATCAACGTTTTAATTTCCAAGACCCTCAAAATAGGGTGATATCATCATATAAATCATAATTTATATTTCCCACTTATTATCCTTATAATAAGTAAATTCATTTATTTGTCGGCACACGGCCCTTCTTATATATTCCTTTTCATTATCATTTTCACAACCCAACCCTTGGGTCTTATTATTTCTACGGGACTTGCTACCGATGTCCGACACCCCATGAGGCTCTCGGTTCGGACTCCAACATCCCGCCCCTGGACTCATACCCATCATCCCGTAGGAAGGTAAGGCCCTTCGGGGTCCTATCTTATGTGTTACCGCTACCGGAACCTAGTTAGGTCTCCGATTCGGATTCCACCCTAACCCGTGATCACGATGTAAGTCCATGCTATCCAACCCCGCTCTCTAGAGTCGGGAAGGGCCATGGTCCTTACTTATTTCCATAATTCAACCGGCTATCCACAAGGACTACCGAACACACCCGTAGGCCAATCCTATACTTAGGATCAATTTATTACTTACTTTATCTTGGGTATCCCTTAAGGCCTACCCCTAGTATAACTTAGAGTTCATACTTTCCTACCTTAAAGCATCTCTTAAGACTACTTAAGGCATAACATTTTACAATCCAATCTTAGGATCAATCTTAACAACATTTCATTTTAATGTCCAACTAGTATCTTAATACTAGTCAAATTCATACCAACAAACCAAGTTCTCAACTCATAGTCATATAGACAATTCCAGCTGATTTTCATTTGAAAATGTCATTTATCTCAATATTCAAAATATCACTTTTAATCACTCATATATTCTAATATGAAGGAAAAGTATATTTCAACATATGTTTCATAATTAATTCCACTTTCAAGTCAACCTATTCATAACACATGATCATACACAATTTACTCTTAAATTTGTATATCATGCTCCTTTTTCTTTAGACATTAGTCTTTTCATTCTTAGGCATTATTAAGCATTAATAATCCATAAAAACACATTTAATTACCTTCGGTAATCTCATGAAATTAACTCACTAATTATAAGCAATATAGTCAGTCATCCTCACCTTATGAAGTGCTGAAATAGTTGCCTTTGTTAAGCTCCCCGATTAATCCTCGTTCTAAACCGATATGAAGGCAAAACTGGACTGCCTGGACAAAA